AGTAGGAGGTACTTATTCAAGTTATGGTAGACTGGAAGTATATTGTAATCGACAGTGGGGTACAGTATGTGATCATAGCTTTGGTTTCATTGATGCTAGAGTTGCCTGCCATCAGTTAGGATACAGTGATTACAGTACATATACTGGAAACCTGTTGGTTCAGTTATTGTGAAAACAATGCATTTAAAATAATTGTTTGTGTTTCTAGTGCTGGGTCTAGCTCTCAACCTATTTGGCTGGACAGTGTTTCTTGCAGCAGTTCATACACTTGTCTTGCTACTTGTGAATCTTGTCCTTCTTCAGAATATCATAACTGTAGACACAGTGAAGATGTTGCTTTGGGATGTGGTAAGCTTCTTCATCTTTATTTGAGTATTTAATTTGATATTTTTAGAATTTGACACCTCTCGAACTCCTCCAAGTAACACAATAGGGTCCTGTCGATATAGTAAGAGTGATTGAATGTACTGATAGTATTAGTGACAAAAATTTCATATGAAGTATTCTGTGTTGTATACTTCCTATGAAAGTATGCAATTTCCTTAATTTCCTAAAATTCCCAACAAAAGTCCCTGTACTATAGTACAGGGATTTTTGTAAAATTTCACAGAGATTGACAAGTAAAAAATTCCTCAATTTTATTACATTTTCTGATGAATATAGATGTACCTATGTTGTGTGGAAAGTTTGAGCTGATTCTGATCAAGTTTGAATTTTCTATGATTTTTTAAAGTTGCTCAAAAATCAGACAAAGGTCCTTGTACTATAATAGTACAGGGATTTTTGTAAAATTTCACAAAAATTGACAAGTAGAAAATTCTTCAATTTTATTACATTTCTTGATGCATATACATGTACTTATGTTGTGTAGAAAGTTTGAGCTGATTCTGATCATGTTTGGATTTTCTATGATTTTTTAAAGTTGCTCAAAAATCGGACAAAGGTCCCTGTACTATAGTACAGGAATTTTTGTAAAATTTCACAAAAATTGACAAGTAGAAAATTCTTCAATTTTATTACATTTCTTGATGCATATACATGTACTTATGTTGTGTGGAAAGTTTGAGCTAATTCCGATCACGTTTAGATTTTCCATGATTTTTTAAAGTTGCTCCAAAATTGGACAAAGGTCCCTGTACTATAGTACAGAGATTTTTATAAAATTTCACAAAAATTCACAAGTAAAAAATTCTTCAATTTTATTTCTTTTTCTGATGAATATACATGTGCTTATGTTGTGTAGAAAGTTTGAGCTAATTCTGATGAAGTTTGGATTTTCTATGATTTTTAAAAGTTGCTTCATAATCAGACAAAAGTCCCTGTACTATAGTACAGGGATTTTTGTAAAAATTCACAAAAATTGACAAGTAGAAAATTCCTCAATTTAATTACATTTTCTGATGCATATGCTTTTTCAAAATGCTCATCACTTGAAAGATATTTGTTGGAATCCATTAAAATTTTTACACAGCATAAGGACATCAATATGTATCAAAAAATGTAATAAAAATTTGGGGTGATTTCGGAGCTATTTTTTGGAAAAAAACCATGGGCTAAAGCCTTGGGTATTTCTTAAATTTTGGCATAATTTTAAAATGGTCGTAACTTGAATAATTGAAGCCGGAATTGACTCAAACTTTCTCCACAGCA